TGTTGTGATGTGGTGGTAGGGTCCTCCGATGTGCCGCAGTCTTCCTGCTCCCGGCGACAATGGCGGTCCTAGTTGGCACGCTGGCCCCCATGGATGGAACTTGATCTTAGGAATCTTCCGCTCGAGAAGATGGTTGATTAGTTCTTGCAGAAAATCCGAGACGGTCGTCCTCCTCGTCTTGATTGTACGCATATGCGTACAATCGGAGGACGACCATCAATTGGAGGTCACCACAGCTGCAATGGTTTGCGCGCTGACTCCACGAACGAGGTGGGATGGTGGGAGGACCAGCTTCCCCATGGGAGCGAGAGAGCCAGCTCCCCCGCTCCTCTCTTGTAGTCGCCGTACAGGAACGATATACGAGCAGGGGTAAACCCTACATTCCAACAACTATCAAAAAGGAGAGAATCGGGAGATTCTAGTTAAACCATACCAGCCCTAAAACTCATATGCCAACAACCGGCGACTTGCTGATGTTAGAATGCGCTAAACGAAAATGGGTTGGAGAGAATCTTACCTGGGAGCTCTGGGCCGGTTTCGCGACTCGGAGAAACCTCGGGTAGCTGTCGTTCCTCAGGACGTCGTCAGCAACCTTTTGAGCGCGGTGCATCGCTGATGGGTGGTTGCTACGCTCGAGAGCGTACAGAGTCATCTCTCGGTCTATGTGCGAGAGGTTGAGAGCGTGCTCGCCGTTGGTGGAGATGTACTCCGTCATTATCTGGCTGCCCGTCTTCCACAGGTTCTGAACCGCGAATAAACCATACCAGCCCTAAGCCTTATATTCCATATTCCAACAAGCGGCGACTTCCTGATGTTAGAATACGCTGAACGAAAAGGGGTTGGAGAGAGAATCTTACCTGGGAGCTCTGGGCCGATAAGTTCTTGTGCCTTGAAGCCTTCTCTTTGATCGACTTGCTTCGTATACTTTCTTTGCTCGCTGCTCGTCCCCTATAGTCCATGGTGGACTCAGAGCTGATTGGTGCGGCTCAGTAAGAAGCTTGTACAGGAACGATATAAGAGCAGGGCTAAACCCTATAGTCCCTTGATAAAGAGAAATAAAGGCCGCAGTACCCTTCAGCTCAGTGAGGAGCTCGAGTGGGCTACCAATCCCTAAGCTCAGTGAGGAGCTCGAGTGGGCTACCAACCCCTAAGCTCAGTGAGGAGCTTGAAGGGGCTACCAACCCCTAAGCTCAGCGAGGACCTTGAGTGGTCCCGGCGCTCCCCGCTAACCTCTTGACAGAACCAGTTTCCCCCTGCCATGCCGATATATTTCGTGCGTATGGTGGAGCAGTCTCTCGGTGCTGAATTCGAAATGACCTGGGAGTCCTGTAAAAAATGATCGATTAGCAAGATCTGACCAAAGCATGCTATCGCACATGCTCCCGATATAGGAAAATAACTGACAATCCAGAAGTGCAATACTCCTGTGCAGCAGTATATTGTGCTGCACTGAAGGTTGCACAATATCCTTGGCGCACACTCTGATGGCGGCGACATATAGTCAGGAGGTTGGGACACGCCGACCAGCTCGACAAAAAGGTAAAACCTGAACCTGACTGCTGACCATCAATAATGGCTGTTAGCTTGTAAGCTCCTTAAACTTGTTAATCACTGGATTGACAGCGTACCATCTTCCGCAACAATGCGGTTCAGAGCCTCTGCCAGGCTCTTACCATCCAAGCAAGATGTAGCCATGAGGCATGCTTCCGACTTGGCTCATGAAACCTGCGAAAATAATCATTGTTAGAAGAAAAATATGTGACAGATCAAACAGACATTACCTTGATATATCACAAGCATTGCACGCCCGAGGGCGGCTAGATATTAAAGCGTACATTTGATCTACCCAATACAGCTATAACGAACAACTCCTGCGTTTCTCTCCTCTGCATTGGCAGCTTCAGCTTCCTTCTTTCCAACAACTCCCTTCGAAAGAGGCTCTGCTTCCTCTCTTTGTCCCTCAATCTCAACTTCTTGAGTCTTGGATGTCACCATCGACCATCGACCATCGACCTGCTATCGGGAATCCCCCCTCCCCCCTCTCTCGAGGACTGAGGCTAGGTCTACGAAGGGAGAGACGACGTGCACGCGGGAGGAGCGGAAGCGGAGTGAGGAGGAGCCGGGGCCAACTTCGAGCGTTGGGCGGCGGCGGCGGTTGGAGGGGGTTTGAGGGTGGTCTCGATGACCAGAGGATGAAGCATTTAGCTGATTGAAATGCATATGGAAGGTGACCGAAGTCCAAAGCGAGGTAGGAAATCATGAAGTTCTCCTTCAATTCTTGAGCCTCTTCGTCAGAAGTTAGCACTAGAAATCGCTGCAAACCAAAAGATGGCCACTTACCAGTTGCTCCTCCTCCTCCTGCAATGGCAGCCTGGGAGGATGAAGGGACTGGGTAGTAACACTAACAATGGTACGACGTTATCAATTGGGAGTTCTATGGTTCAGATATTTCATGATGGAGAGGCTTCGATTTCAAAGAGGGGCAAGGGGTAGAGGAGGAGGTAGGTAGATAGATAAGGGATTTTGGGATTGAATGCACGGGGATTTTCATTGAAAAACGTACTCTTATCCTCTTCATCATTATCTTCGTCCTCGTTCTTTAGACCGGAGAAACGGTTGTTGTTGTTGTTGCCGGTTCCTCGCTTGAAGCGAGGAGCGGATATCCTCTGGCCACCACCACCTATGAGTAGATTAGCATGTTGGACATTATGTGTGTTGTGTATGCAAGAGTAGAAATATAACTCACGAGCAGTGCCACGCGAGCCAGCATCGAGGCGGGTACCACCGCCATCCTGTCTTAAGGGGTCTCCTTTGCAGCCTGAGCGCATAAATGGGACTGTGCAGTAACACTGCCAAAGGTGCGACGGTACCAGTTCTGGGTTCCATGGTCAAGACCCAAGTAGATCTGTGTTGCCTTGTCTGTAGGCATCTCATGCTTACACTTACAGCCCAGTCGCAGAAAATCTTCTCGCGACGAGGGATCATCAACACTGAAGATAACTGGACGATGTTATCAATTTGTTGCTATTAACTTATCAGCAAAAACTAAGCAAAGATCGGGGCTGTAGCAAGTAGATAGATAGTTGCCGCTTCTTAGAAAATTAGGGTGATTGACTTACTTGGACTTGAGTGTCGCTAGGACGGCCGAAGCCGGGAAGAGATTGAAGAACCTGGAATCTCTCATCAGCATCTAATCACAAATAATATGAAAATTGAAAAAGAGACTCACATGCGCCGGGACCATGAGCTTCCAGTGAGTCCCTCTGCCCCTTGCCGTAGCTAGAGGTTGGACAGCGCCAGCTCGTCTGCTGGCACAAGTCTTGTTCCAAAACCATCATCGGCGCCGGAACAAAGAGCAGAGGGAGCCGCTGAGCTGCTCTGTGGTAGGCCAGGCCCCCCTCCTGGTGGGGATAGGACCGTTTCCGTTTCCGCCTCGATTGGCCTGTGGAGGGGGGCGCTGTTTTCAGTAACAGGAATTTTGTGAGGGAATTGAGTGAGGAGAGGGAGCAGGGAGATGGAACGGATTGGCCATCATGGGCTGATTGGGAAGGTGATACGGGGAAGTCTCTGACGAAGAGGTTCTATAGCTTCCCTACGAGGAGTTCCCTGAAGAGGAGGAAATCTAATAGGACCAGGGACCTCCCCGTATCACTCAATAGTTGGGTTCCTGCTCGGATTTCTGGATCCCTGCTGTGCAGGAACCAATATCAGGCCCTCTGCCCCTTGCCCGGGCGGACATTGTCGAAAGTCAGTTCATAGGCTGGGACAAGGAGCAGAGGGAGCCATATCCGTATGCAACACTTAGTTGCTCGGTTGTCGGCCAGGCACCTCCTGGCAGGATGGTGCTCAGGAGGGCGCTGTTTTCCGGGACAGGATGACTTGAGGGAATTAAGTGAGGAAACGAAGTGGGATGCTGCTGCCGGGGATAAGAATGGCCTGACGGAACTCAGTGAGGAATTCAGTCAAGAGTTCAGTGAGGAACTCAATGAGGAACTCAGTGAGGAGTTCAATGGGGAACTCAGTGAGGAGTTCAGTCAAGAATTCAGTGAGGGAAGATGGATCGCCTCAGCAGCTTATCCATAGCAGACTTCGCTCTGGACTTGATCGTAAATCATATCTTCTTGTCTCCTTATTTGCAAGCGTCCAACTTCGCGTGTGCCAAAGCGAGTAGAAGATCTTGGAGAACGGCCGTTGGAGTAACCGGCGGCGGAGGTATGGATTGTAAAGCGTTTGGACGTTATTGTTGCTGGGAATTGCAGGAAGATGGAGCATCACCCAAAGCCTCCAGATGAAGACCATGGATTTTTGTTCAAAACGAACCTGGTGGGGGCCAAGCTACTTGCAAAGGTAGCAAGAGACAAAAGTCTGTTTGAAAATCAGTTACAGCCCCTCCAAGAGTGATGAGGAACAAGAACTTGCCGGACTCGGGATGAAATCTAAATATCTGCGGACTCTGGCAATAAATAAGTGTCTTTGTGCCTGGAAGAATCAACCATCTCGGACTCTCTTGTAACGAAAAGACCAGGAAGTTTTGCGATGCTGAGCGGCTTTTCCAACCGCGTCTTGAACTTAATTTCGAAATTTCACAAGAAAGAGTCGTTTTCAAGAGGATATATCATATGCTCGACAACACTCTTTGAGTGCTGGCCGACCAGCTTTGCGCAGACCGAGATACTCGGGCTTGTTTGGAGAAATGAATTTGGAATGATCTCTAAGAAGAAGCAGTTAGCTCAAGATTGGGACTGTACTGATTGGAAGCAAATGAGAAAAAGAAAAAAAAATATAAAATTGCATGCCCCTGAGAATTGGCTACTGCCTGATGAGCTTACATACCTGATGGTGGCATCGCTGTAGCCAATCGATACTCTCGCGCCGAAACCAGCTGTCGATAACGGAGATGGATGTCGGCTTTAGGTTAGGGAGGAGAGTTTGGTGCGAAGGAGTTACCACCTGTGAGAGTAGAATAAATCGGAGCAACGGTGTTGCCTCCTATGTATGAGGGAGAGCGTGAGTACGCAGCCAAGGCCCAAGACTCTGTGAAGACTCTGAAATTCGGCAGACGCTGGGTGTGCTTCAGTTTTCCAGGCGGCCTAAGCTGGTTGTAGCCCATGATTTCGAATATGGAGAGCTCGCTGTGAAATAAACCTGGTCAATATGGGTTACAGTACAAGTGAAGGTCTCCTAGGGTTAGAGCTGGTTGGATTTACTCACTGATGATAAGGGGAGACTCCAGAACCAACAACTCTTCATACTACTAACTCTCTCCCACCATGTGCCTTGAGTATCTTCTGTGTTGTGCCCGAGAGATATGAGATGGTACAGGATTCTAGCATCTGCTCTAGCTTCAGTGTGTCTTGGGGGCTCGCCTATCACTGTGACGTGTTTCTTGAAGTCGACGGGCTTGCGAGTGAATGATGCAACGAGAACACCGATCATGGAAGCAAGCAAGGTATGGAATATGGGACCTCGGATGTCCTCTCTGTTCTTCACAGTAGTTCTGAACGAGGCTTGGTGCGGGAAAGGGTGAATTGGGTGGATGGAACGAAATCGAAGATTCGCAACTAGGGGTTCGAGATCATGCAGATAGCCTCAGTACATACCGCAGGACTTGAAGCAAAGTAGGCGATAGTTACAGCCACATTGCCTGAGCAAGTGGCAGAGGAGAGGTCAAGGCTGAAAGTATAATATCAATTGAATCCCCTTCTCCTGGATGTGCTTTGATTGTGTCAGCTTGGAACGATTCTGACAATGTAAAATATTGTGTGCAGACCAAATGGATTAGAGATCGAAACTTGCCGTGACTCAAATCATCTCGTAAATCGATCTTGGGGTATGTAAGAATAAATCGTCTGACGTTGATAGGCCACGATGAAGCGCTCAACCCTGCTCCGGCGAGGTGTTGTAGACAGGTAGGAAAGAAACGGGAAGGGGTGTCTGAATATCGAGAAGATTATTAGCAGGCTTCCAAAAGTCAAACAAAGATCTAGAGTGCCAGTAAACATACCAGAGTATCTGTAGGACTTGTGGTGAGACGCGGGGAAGGGGAGGGGGAAGGGGAAGGGGAAGGGGAAAGGGAAAGGGATGGGGAAGGGGGAGAGGAGAAGTGAGAAGGTTGTCTGCACCTAAGTACCAACTTGATAAAACCACGACGACGAGTGGTCTGAGGAAGACCAAAGTAATCGCAGAAAGATTAGAGGATCATCATTAGGGTTGAGAGTCAAGTAGAGGATACTCAGGGAAGTGTGGAGGTTGTGAGAGAAGGGGGCAGAGATCGAGGGCGGGGTACCACCAACTTGCTCTTTTTTCAAGAAAAAGAGCTCTCAGGATAAAATAAACAAGTAATTAAGGGTCATATAACTTACAGTAGTCTCGGGAGTCAGTTTTGTTGCATTGAGATGCGTTTTTGGTGGTGTGCTGATGAAGTTGTTGGTGTTGTGGGGGGGAGGAAAGTGAAGAGAATGGGAAGTTGGAGTTCGGGTAGGTAAGCTAGACTCCAGAAAATATTAATGAGGCTCTGTGGCGGCTTATTCACCCAACAAGCGGCAAATAGGCTGCCATTGGCTGTTCTGGAGTGTTAGTGGGCTCGGCTGGCACCTACCTTCAAGGATGGGGCCGCTTTAGCGGGCTTTTGGATACCAGCTGTAAGTGAAAATTACAATCCTACATATATGGGCCATTTGAAAGTTTTGCAAACATTTGATACCTAATTTTGGACCGTATTGCTTTGTATTCTCTGCTCTGTATGGTATTGTCTAGGCATTACAAGCAAGTAGCTATAGAGAGTTTCATGAAGAGAGGCGCTCTCTGCTTCCCAATAGTCTTACTCAACCCTCCAAGTCGCAGAAACAACCCCCTCAAGACGCGAAACGTCACATCAAAAGCATCCGGGGCTTGTTAGCACCACTCGATACTTACTGCCTCGATGGGGTCTTGAGGAGCATTGCTCTCAGTCGTGGCGCAATGGAATCGGAGTTCTTGGGAAAAAAGGACCCTATGCTGAAGCTGGGACAAAATCGTGGGAAAAAGCAGAAAGGCAATTCGCATTGCATACAGATCGTCAGTAATGAGATCTCCACGTAGCTTTCTAACTATTCCGAGTACTAATTACAAAGATGTTCTACCCAGTGCCGAGACTTCGACGTTTTATTACCCTTACGCTGCTTCTACTTCTCTTCAGATAAACAAGCAACATCTGCGAGCTACCCTTTTCAATTGATCGATACGATGGATCCCTCGGTATTCTTCGATGTTGCATGGCTTCCGGGTATCGGAAACACAAATGGGCAGCACAAAATATGGTTACAGAGCTAGCTACACCAGGTTTCTTGGACGAACGATACTCTGTGGACCATGGCAGTCAAGTAGGGAAGCCTAGAGATTGAAAAGGAACCATAGCAGCGGCTGTAACAGACCATCATAGCTGCTTGATATTGCAGATAGAAAGAGGCTCGTAACCAAGCTCAGAGGCATTAGAGCTACAGAATATTCAACGGAAAGTAGGGGTCGGGGAATATCGTTGGAGGACTCTAAAAAGCAAAGCAGTGTATATAATTACCCTGATTGGCAAGAACGTCTCTTTTGACCTTCTTAATTCCCCTATGGATGGTGCCCAGTTCTTGAGGTAAGCTTTGAACACTCTCTATCTTCATGCAACAGTGCAGCATCTTTTCAGCGTTCCCATACTTCCTCCAAACAATTACCCCACAGTTCCCATGTATCTTGCGTGCCGACAGGCCATGGCCAGAGTCCAAGCCTAGCTAATGTCTGCCCCGTCGATGCGGCAAATATACGAGCGTTTTTACACGCATGGCCAGCTAGAAGCTCAGCTGCAACAAAAGACGAGAAGTGGATAGAACGGATGTACACCAAGGTATTTCAACTTCAATGAAGCAAGAGAAGGCTCCAATATGGCTACTCTGGGAAGTTAGGCCCTCGGGTGGAGCGCTTGCTTATCTTCTGATTTAGTTCTGCTCCAGTGCTGTCCAGCACTCCTCCTCGACAGTTCTCTACAAGAACCCTTCTCGAATCTCTTCTGTCGAATCCTCGAAGCCTACATAAGAATCATCGGCCGCAGACGAGATATCCGGTCTTGACACCTACCATACCATCTTCGAAATCTCTCACGAATACGCAACTCCTATGGCCAGTAGTACTAGAAAACACACGAAAACACGGTTCACGATTCTAGCATTACCCCTAAGCCTGACTAAAGACCTTCGATCACGAAATGCAGAGCTGCGCCTTCGGGACCGCTACAAACCCAAGTCACTGAGCGTTATGCCACCAGGAAAATACCTGGTTCGAAAAATGGAGACGAAGCAGCAGCGATAGCTACAAGAATCTGCAGATGTGACATTCCTGCCTCTCTTCAACCCCCTCCTCCGACCTGCCATCTCCTCCTCCACATCTTCCCCACCCTTTACGATAACTTGGGAAGTCTTGAGGATATGAGAGCGCTTTACCTTCGTATTTCTACAGCTTGGGGAAGGTTCGAAGTCATGGAGACGAGAAGAACCCCGAAGGTCAAGACACTCGTTATGGCTGGACCCAAGGCAAGGATACAAATCTTTGAGCATGTGGCAAAGACCTAGGCTAAAAATTTGCAGATATCATAAGCAGGTCTCTTGGATGTTTTGGTATCATACATTTTTGGCAAGAAAGGCGCTGGAAGACATGGGATTATGGAGATGGACTCAATGCTGCGTGGTTGCCCAAGAGAAAAGACAGGATTGGCTTCGAAATAAAGCACTTCAGATGAAATACTTTAACAAAAGTTGCTTACAATTCTGGAAGACTGGGTTACAATGTGGGCTTGCGAGTGACTGTATTGTATTGCACCAGGGCAAATTGTTTTGTTTACTTCGACCCGAGAGTCTTCTGCCAAGTCGGCTACTCACCGCCTTCAGGTGGTTAGAATTTTGGCAGCTTTAGACCGCGTAATATAGAAGATATATAAGCCTACGGACATTCTATACCAGCTCGGACACAAGATTGGCTAAAAGTGTTCATAGATCTACGAAAATCTATGTTTGATCAAGCGATATATAACTTGATTTGTGTTTATATACTGAACTCAGGGGCTCGGCAAATTAGGCTGAACTTCGGAATTCGTTACTGTCCTTCCTTTCAGGAGCTCGTCTCACGGGTGACATTCGGTCCCGCCTAAACAACTACTTCCTTGTAGTTCTGGCTGCTCTCAAAGCTTTAAAGAAATGGGCAGCAAGGCTCTTTTATGCATTGCTTTTCTTATATCCCCCAGTATATAGAGCTGCTCCCTAAGCCGAGAAACCGTAAAACTGATACATATATCCTCCCACGAGCACATGACTAACTAACTAGTCATTATTTCCCCCCTAACCCTGATTGTGATGCGCGGAACGTACAATCCCGGATCCAACACCTTCTCCCGCGCAAACATAACCTCCAAGGCCGTCCGGTACTCCTCCCAATGGTAGCGATGTGGCTCCGGCGTGGCAATCCGGATCGTCAGCTCTTCCAAGCACCGGAACAGCAGCATGATACGCATCTTGCGCCGGATCTCCACCGCATCCTCCGTGGCGTCCACCCGCAGCGGAATCCTCGACCTCTTGCCCGTGAACGTCCAATCTTTGGGCTCGACCTCCAAGATCCGAATGTTGTTGAAACATTCTCCTGTCCATGGCCCAAGGAAGGTACCTTCCTCCGCAGCCTCTTTGCCGGCTCTATATATCTGGAGACTTTCGTAATCTAACAGGACCCGGTCCACGTTGGGGTCGAAGAGTTCCTTGTGGAGAGCGGGGGGGTCGCGCGGCAGTGGGCCGTAGACGGGAGGATGAGGTGGGAGGTAGGGTCGTAGCGTCGTTGCTCGCGACTCGTGGTTGACTCGGAAGGTTGCGGAAGGTAGATCGTTCGTTTTGAGGCAGTAGTCTTGGTCTAAATAGACCGAGAGGGTTCGGACGCGAACATAGTGCCAGACCTTCTTCCGAACCTCTATCGGAAGGTTGTTGAACATGGGGAAAGAGCAGATCGGCAGGGGCTGGGCCGGAGGATTGATTGGATACGCAGATCGATTGTGTAGCATCCTTCTCAAGATGTGTGGAGGCTTTGCAAAGGGACGGACGGTGGCTTGGAGAGCTCGGAAATCGTACTCTCCTGTGCGGGAGAAGAGTTCTTCTGGAGTGATATCCATGGTGTAGATTGGATCTTTGGTTCTTCTGGATGACTTGGAGTTGAATTATCTGCGACACAGTATGCGAAGGAATCAGGTTTGAACGTAAATAGTTTGAATCTCCAAGGCAAGTGGGTGGTAGAGGCAAGTGGGTGACAGAGGCTAGTGTGAAGCACGGACCCACGCTCGAATACATAGAAAATATATGTCAACTACCCGCCTCAAGCTACGAAAAAGCCCTTATTAAATTCCCCTTTACGTCTTTCCAATTTGCAATGGAGGGAAGAAAGATATGCGAATAATTAGCCGAGTAAACACCCTCTTCACCGAAGCGAACTGCCCCTGACCGGCTTTACTTCGAAGCGAGGAGTCTAGCGCCTGGTCCAAAGTCTTAATTTGTTCTTCTCATATCAAAGTTGCTGTGACCTTGACGTTGATATTTTTATTGAACTATGGGATTGATAAATGCTGTGTTTATATGTAGAGAATACACTTTACTCAAATGCTGTTTTTTTATATAAGAATTTCTCATTCTTCAAGGTTGTGAGTGAAGAAACAAGAAAAAGGGAGGCTTTAATTTTTACGCTATCCTTAGAGCATCTCACTTCTATTCTATTTTTGTCTCTATAGCTAAGATCTAATGATTATACTTCCGTGATACAGGTGTATCTAGAAGGTTTGAATATGATCAAGGTGCAAACTGCTGACTTTTACTGAATGGCTTTTAGTATTTTCTAAGATCAAGATCGCATTCTCAAGATCGATATATCTCTGAACCGGTATTCGAGAAACGTAGAATTTCGCTCCAAGTAATTTCCGAAAGAAAAGATGCTACATTACTTCAAGTCTATAGATTTAAGTTGAGCTAAAAGAGCAAATAACCACATCGCCCACCAGCGAAAAGCTGAGCGAAAGCGACCAGACCTAACAAGAGATAAGACTTCTGGAATTCGAAGCCTAAAGGCAACCAGCGCTGCGAAAACGCAGCCATTACACATTGCTTCTTCTTTCTCTCTCCATCAATCTTAGACAGCACATAAATTGGTCCTCGCAACGTGGTATCCAAGATCCTTTTGGGGGGCTACGATTCTTGACCTATTCGAGGTGCCCCTACGAACCTCCAGTTCTCTCCTGATTCAAAGATTCTGAAGAGCGGAAACTGAATTAACCGACATGCGAACTCGTCGAAGAGATTTTCCCTTACCGGCGATTCCGAACGAACCTTTCTCCTACCTCGACCACCACACGAACTAGGATCTATACCTAACGGGCATACCAACTGAGAAGATACCAGGAGGATTTGCAATAAAATTGGAACGTGTGTGAGAGGTGGGAAAAGGTTTCAGGAAGATCGATCTGCGACATTGCGCCTTCGAAGAGTACTGCCTGCACTTGGCTGACCTCCGGTCCGGCCTCGAATTATCTCGATATCAACACCGATATACGTTATGCTATAACTTGATGGATGAGTTCTTCCTTCGATATAAGACCAAGACTTTTCTTTTCTACGATCCATCCTATCCGTAAGGGAAGGGCTTAGAGGATAGCAGCTCTGCTATATCACTTGAAATGCTTTTGGGGGCTGTATAAGAATTGCGATACCGCGGGATTAGAAGCCCGGGGCTATTTTTTAGAGAGATTCTCCAACCGCCGAGCTTTGAGATGTAGTGCGGACGCGTATCAGCAGAATGAGCCCAGCCCGGGAGGCAATTTTCTATATGCTAGGTATGTCCTGTTATTTACATGTAGCCTGAATCTGAAGTCTGTGCCATATACATATATCTGTCAGACGTTAATTGCACTCACGCTGCCGTTCTGGCAGAGATTTATCGGACCTATTTCTTCCATTTCCACTTTGAACTTTTTCGAATATTGGGCTGGACTACCAATGCCCGTCTTGAAGTTCTGGGATTTGGTTGCCGGCACCAAAAAATTTACCTTCTCAGCCCGAGATATTATCGGAGACTGGCTATATTCAAACAATATGGAATTGTTCTTTTTAAACGAAGCTGGCAGAATTCATGAGCGGCGAAAACGAATCAATATTCAAATTTGTAATTAAACATGCTGAGGTTTTAAATCGTGCAAAGTGATTGCATATCCGTACGAAACGTTCGGAAAAACTTGGGTGGTAATTATAATCCCAAATACTGCTGCTATACAATATCCAGTAGCGTGGGTGGCATAGTGGTTGTCACCTTCAGGTCAAGCTGGTGTGGAGGAATTTGAAACGATTAGGGGCCGAGTGGTTTAGACTCACCAAACCACACACGACAAACAATCTCGGAAAACAGAAAACATCGGATCAAAATGAAAACCCATCACTGAGGCTTTTCTTCTCCCACCGTGAGGTGGGAGTTTGTTTTGCACTTTTTGGCTTTTTCCTTCTTCCATTTAACTTAAAATTCAGTGCTAGGAGACGGCTTTTCAGGCGGAAATCTACGTCGCTTACGAGCTGAGCCAGCCTCGTGACGGAATAGAAATTCTGTCGCTAATAAAGTCCGCAGCTAAGGCTGGCAAGACTTGTAAGGTGCCTTCTTGGGAGAGAAAGTTGGCCGACGACACCTACAGCGACATGACTGCCTGGTCAGGCATGCGGGACACTAGTATACAGGATTCGAGGAATCGCTCGCGCCCAACATGGGTAAAGCTCACTTTTGAGAGATATAAGAGGCAAGTCAAAAAGTGGCCATATCGTGGGAAGCTGTGAAAATCACAGCAATATCGATTTCGATTCAAACGACACAAGCTCGCAAATATAGCGAGATCTGACGGAGTAGCTGGGCACGCAATTTCCAAAATATCAGGGTATAATCTTTTGATGAACTGGAAGAAGTGGCTGAATGCATTAGATTCGCTGGCTGGCTAAAGCCAGAGGGCCTATTGAATACATGTGCGACAACATCAGTGGAAAGTGAGTGGTCCCTGATCTCCCGCTCACTTGTGGAGTGGGAAATTCTGAGACATCGAGTAAGTATACCATGAAGTCAAGCTGGGACCCGGCTCCTTAAAGACAACGCATATTGGCTCCAGTCTACGGTATCAAAGCATTAGGGCTCGGTACCGGCGAAGGAATGTTGCGAAAGCGTAACCCATGTGAAACAAACGCCAAAAAATATTTAGAATACAGCTGAACTTCCATGGAGTCGATGATTTGATAGCAAAACCATGCAGCTTCTTGAATTAGGATTGTTCGCGGGGGTCAGAGACGTAGCTCTGTATTTAAAACTCTCAACTCCTCTTGATTAGCTGGGTTCGTCCTCTAACAGAAGAAGAATTTGTAATGGCTGTTACACATTACTTACACATTACACGGCAGTTGGTGCCAGCGGTGCTTAGGGCATTCAGGGCAATGCAATCTTATCCATACTCGGGGATAATACCATGATATACTGGACAACAGGCAGATGAAAGCTCATATACCACGGTACAGGCCTAAGTATTACCCCTCGAGGGTGCCTCAAAAGTTTAGTTTCCACTTTAAACCCCCTGGTTACCCTACCCTCGAGGGGTAATACTTACGCCTGCGACGTAGTATATGAAATACACGTGGATACTCGTTGTATGTATAGTAAATCGATAAGACTTGCTTGGTATACATCTGGGGTCTTCAAGAAGAAGGATAAATTGGATATAAATACTCGAATTCTAAACTTTTCTGTGGTAGCAAAACAATCTTCCAAGATGATAATTGCTTCAAATTCGCGCAATACGGATAAATTTGAAAGGTGAAGTCTTAGAGAGAAAAATAGCTCCTTCCAAAAGAAGACGAGCTGATACGGTATAACTATGTTTTGAAGCGAGGATTTAGAGAAAGCACTGAGCGATTACTAGATTGAATACCTGATTGCTTGAGTTAAAGGGCTTAAACCCTGTTTACCAGTGTGGTATAAGTAAACCGTGGAATTCATTATTACCGACTGGCGAAAGTAGAGCCAATGGTTCAGCGGCTTAAATTGCTGGTCACAAATCACATTGTCTAGCCAGGTTTGGGGCCCGAATCGACTCAAAACTACTGTAATGATAAAACCTGTTCAGCCAGGCTTGTAAGCTGGATCCTCCTCGTCAGCTTCTAGTTGAGTTTTGCCCTCTTCTTCTGCTTCAAATAGTTTTTCTTAAACACCCAGACTCTAGTAATATTAGACTCCGGTATTATTATTATTACTATGAATAGACCATGAAGCGAAATCGCTGGCGTAGAACAAACATACGTTTTCTTCTTTTTCTTCTTCTTTCGAATGAGTCTGATATTGCGCCGATTCTTACTCCACAAGTAAGCCCCTCACTAAGCCCCTTTCGGCGCATTTGCCATCCCCGACCGCCAAAATTTCTTAATATCACCGAGTCATCTGGGACAATGAACTTCTCTCACGATCTGTAGACCAAGACGCATAGTCCTGAATGTGACGATGCGCCCGCCCAAGCCTCTCATCCTCTTCATCGACGCGTACGACAGCTTCTCCAACAACATCATCTCGTTACTCTCCACGACCCTCGAAGCCGACATCCGCACAATCCACATCGACAACCCCGCGCTATCCTCGGACGAGGCCCTGCATGCAGAACTGAGACATTATGCTGCTGTAGTATGCGGTCCTGGGCCAGGAAATCCCGGGAAAGAGGAGGATGTGGGGATCATGAGGAGGATTTGGAGGTTGCAGGAGAATGAAATGGTCCCGGTTCTTGGAATCTGCCTGGGCTTTCAAAGCCTGTGTTGGGAGTTTGGGGGGAGTGTTGGGAGGTTGAAGGGGCCGCAGCATGGGATTGTCAGTAGAATTACGCATATTGGAGCACACAGCAAGGCCAGCCAAGGTGCTATATTCGAGGGCGTGGGGGAGATACATGCAACGCTATACCAGAGCTTGTGTGCTGATGTTGGGCAAGACTTGATTGGAAAAGATGAGTGGGAAACTGCGAAATGGAAGGCCACAGAACGATGTCCGGAGCTGTTGCCGCTCGCTTGGGTGGAACACGATTTGGCCCAGGGGAACGACTCGGGTATCATGGACGAGAGGGTTCTGGTTGGAGTGCAGCATAAAACGAAACCATTTTGGGCGTTACAGTACCACCCCGAGTCCATATGCACGAATGAAGAAAGCACGAAAGTTATCACAAACTGGTTCGGATTGGCCCAGGCATGGAATATACAGAAAGGGCGTATACAAGTCACCTCGGAGGGCCCGATCGAAGGACAATTTGTCACTCGCGAGAGCCTATTGAGCCAAAACCAAAGGAAATTAGAGCAAGACACCTCTTTTACAGCCGGCAGTACGAAATTGTATAGGGCCATCTGCCATTCTCGCACTATAGATATTCCCGCTCGTATATCGATACCGGAAATAGTTGAGACTATTCAGGATTTGCGACAGGATCAAATCATCTTGGAATCTTCGAATGCAAATGAGAATTATACTGGAGGTGTCGATGTTCGAGGGCGATATTCAGTCATTGGCTTAGACATCGAGCAATGCACGAGGGTGGAATATACTGCTGGGAAGCAAAACATCAGTATCAGTTATCCCCGAGAACGCGGTCAAAGGCCAGAGACTGTTCACTTGAACGCAGACTCTCAAGGAGGAATCTGGCCGTACTTGGCTCACTACCTGGATGAGCGCCAAGTTAAGGATGGCAGCCCTGAGTCACCCTTCTGGGGCGGCTTCATGGGGTACACAACCTACGAACTCGGACTCGAAGGGATTGATGTTTCACCCAACCCCAACGGCCGGCAACACAGTCGTCCAGATCTCTGCTTTGCTTGGGTCGAAAAGAGTCTCGTCGTAGACCACCTGAAGAATCGGATCTACCTCCAACAATTAGCGCCATCAAATGCTTCAGGCAGAGTTGGCTCATGGATGGACAGCATTATCGCTAAACTAGAAGCCAAGCTTTTACCCGAGGAGAGTTATGATCCATATACCATCACATTCTCGAATTTACCGGGTGACGGATGCAAGAATGGCATTCTCGACAGAATGGCCCAGTTGGGCGTGGCCCTACCCCTCACACTGCACGTGTATCCTTCAGATGGCCCCTATTCCGGCTTCGCAACAGCACAATATGAACAACCCAACAACCCAGAGAAGATCGCCCAACTTCTCAACAACAGCGATATAGCTGGGCGAAACATCCGTGTCAAGGTCACAAGCCAGATACTTGACCCTGTCTCTAAACATTCCCCTCCACCGGCCAAACTGTCCTCTCGTTTGTCTCATCCAGCCCAAGCCCCAGCCATCGACATCAAATCCTCCGTCCTTTCGATCCAGACCCCCTTACACTCGATATATGAATCCAAAGTCCTCTCCTGTCAAAGCTCGATCCGCGCCGGCGACTCTTATGAACTCTGTCTCACGGACCAAACGGTCATCACTCTGTCCAGATCCACTTCCCCATCCACACCCACCCCTTGGTCCATCTACCAAACCCTCCGCACTAAGCAACCTGCACCCTTCGCCTCATATCTCAAGCTCGGCCCATTAACATTCATCTCTGCCTCCCCGGAGCGCTTCCTCACCTACACGCCAACTACCTGCGAGCTCCGGCCCATGAAAGGCACGGTCCGCAAGTCCTCGCAAGTGTCAACACTAGAGCAAGCGAAGAAACTCCTCGACGTGCCGAAGGAGAAAGCAGAGAATCTCATGATAGTGGATCTCGTAAGACATGATCTCCATGGGGTCTGCGGGGCGGGCAGGGTGCAAGTGCCGCGATTGATGGTGGTGGAGGAGTATAAGAGCGTATTCCAGATGATTTCCATCGTGCGTGGATCTCTTCCCCAACCTCCACCTCCCACCTCTACTCCTCCGTCCTCATCTTCATCTTCATATTCCGCTTCGCCCACGACTTCCGCCTCGTCTTCTACAGACTTGATAGCGTCCTCGACATTGGCTTCCGACGGCGTGCACGGGAACGAGAGATTGAAAGCGACACGTGACAGGTACACAGGTCTCGACGTCCTCTCTGCCAGCCTCCCACCGGGCAGCATGACGGGCGCGCCCAAGAAGCGCAGCTGCGAGATCCTGCAGCTGGTCGAGGGCGGCCGGGAGCGGAGTCTGTATAGCGGGGTGGTGGGGTACGCGGATGTTGGAGGCAGGGGCGACTGGAGCGTTTCTATCCGGTGTCTGTTCAAGTGGGATGATGATGAGGATACTCACGCTGGAGATGCAGGCGATGGAGAGGACGCGAGAGGAGATGCTGGTCCGGAGACTTGGCACATTGGTGCCGGTGGTGCCGTCACGACGCTGAGCACGGCTGTTGGGGAGAGGGAGGAGATGTTGACGAAGTTGGAGGGTACGCTGGGGCTTTTTCGGTAGATCCTTCGCTCCTCTAGCCCTCATCCTCTCTCCTCTCTCATTCTCCTCTCCCTTACTTTCTCTTTCCATCTCTCCTCACGTATTTCCCCTTTCTTTCTTTCTTTCTTTCTTTCTTTTAAATTGCTGACCTGGTGGGTGTAATATATGGCATTCTCTCTTTTTCCTCCTTGCTTTGCCCTACTCAACTTTACCCGCTTCATTTAATATACTAAGATTAGATACGATACTTTAATACGCAGATATATTCAGATAGATAGGTTTATATATACATGTGCACGCAAGGGTAGATAGCTAGATAGCTAGACAAACAGACAGACAGTCACCACGTTCATTCAATATTTGAAATTAGATCGGGAATTTTGACATCGGGAATGGGCTGAGCGGACGCGAGTGTGTTTATGCTTACTTACGGAGTAGTGTAAGTAAGGTAAGGTAAGGTAAGGTAAGGGGTGAACCTGATAGGATGGCCTTTAATAAGATGGTTAGGGGGCTGGTGTTTTATGTTTATGTTTGTGTTTGTTTAATATACGGATATGTGGATGGGTGATGGGCATGTTGGGGGTGGGGGAAGGGGTGAGGTGTGGGGTCGGGTGGGAAGATAGAAGAGGGTCTTCGAAGGGGATTGTATCGTTCTCAACGACGGATAATAGATAGATAGATAGGAAGGAGCGATAGATAGATTGAAAGATGGTTGTTTTGTAAAAGGAAAAAAATAAAAAAATAAAAAAATAAAAGCTTGCTCTGCTCTGCTATGCTCCGCGTTCTGTTTTAATGAATAAGGAAGGCGTAGATGCTTTTGATGAGGAAGGTGTAGATAGATAGATAGATAGGAAGAGAATAGAGAGGATGGATGAATGAATAGGATTCTTAATATAATCCATTTCCGCATTGTTCCATACAGCGGGTTGGAAAAGATATACTAACTACACTGTATCAAAAGCACTGAAGACGAATCAGAATGTTTTTTTTGGTGTATTTTTTTGTTCGTCCTTACCGACCTACAGGTGTGGTGCCTCATTTTTTTTTTCCAGAAAGGAATGCCAAGATGAATGTGCTGCTTCGCTAGAGACGATATATATGCTACACTGTACAAGCAAGTCTCTTTCCCTCTCTTCCTCTGCTCCATACCCCATAACCCCAGCGCTCGAATACTCCCCTCTTCAAAACCCCTCCTTTCCTCTCTCTGCGAAGTTCCATTTCTTGACTTCGTATTGAATGCAAAACCGACGGACCCTTGAGCCTCTGCTACCGTACCCTTCCCACCCGGGATCTGTCATGGCTAGAACTCACTCTCCTCCTCAAAGAACATGCCGAAGGCGATAATGGTGCCGTAGATCAGCACGCCACCAATGATAGACATGATAGCCGCGGCCCAGAGGATAATTCCTGAGTGAGCGAGGAGAATTGGGAGGGCTGTTTGGGTTTTTCGGGTTAGCTGGATTTCGTAGACTTTAATATGTGTCTCTTTGCGAAGCATTTGTTATTCAGACCCCCTCCCCCCAAATAAAGAGATAGAGAAAGGAGGAAAGAAGGAAAGAAGGAAAGAAAGAAAGAGATATGAGAAGTGACTAGACATACCGACCCCCATCAAGCACAGAAATCCCGTACAGAACCTCCCGAAATCCACAATGGCGCTACCGGCACTGCTCTCGACAAAATCATCCGGGTTGGCGCAGCGCCCGCAGACCCAGTTCGGCAGCGGCGCCAGCACGTACGTGGCCACGACCAGCAGCGGCAGGTATTGGTGGAAGAGGGCGCAGGAGAGGATAACGAGGAGGAAGCCAATCGCTAAGACCTTTTTGACCGGGGCGGGAGGTATTGTTAGCGGGGGGATTAGAGGAGGGGGATGTGAGGGGGAGAGGCGTACAAAGGAGAGAGAGATGATGGTTTTGAGGCCCGCGGCCATTGTGGCGGTTGAGAAATGCACTTTGGTGGTTTGGATGGGTTGGTTATTTGGTTGCTTGGTTTCAGGATGTGGTGATGATCGTTGGCTCGAATGCTGCGATGTGTTCCGTTTTTTGAAGTGGGCGCTTGGTTATTATTTGTTGTACCAAACATATGTCTATTTCAGCTATCCTTGCAATCGTGAATCTGATTGTATTCGTTCCAGCTCCTGCGGTTGTAAGTCGGTTGAGTCGGATGTGGTGAGAAGTGGCGTGAATGAACTGTTGAAACTGATGGATTTCAAGCCTGGTCGATGATCGCGGGTCCACAAGCTGATTGCCGCGCGCCAGATGCGGCTCTGCGGCTAGGTGGATTGGCGCAGGAAGACCCCTGCTCTCAATATCACATGACGTGGGACAATTCAGAATTTTTGCTCTCAATCGATTTTTCAATTCGAGATCTAGAATCAAGTCATTCCTTATTATGCATAGAGCAGCGCAACTGATCCCTTTCATCGTTTATATTTCCAGAGTTGCCCCTAAATACTGCCCTTCCAGCTCGAAATACGTTGGTAAAGTATCCAAATTCAACTTCAACATCAACATCACCCAGATCCACGCTACCGACCTCCCCCTGTCGCGCTACAGTAACCTTACTTACCTTGAAGGCATATAGGCGTGCATTTAAACGGTCGGCCGGCCGCCTTGGAATGCTTTCTTTTAGAAGATGGCCTTAAGAGGTTGGCATAGCTATCAGACTATTCATCATGGGTTAAGAAGTAATAGATTTTCTAACTAAATGATTTAAATAATTTAATAAGCCCAACTTCGAAATCCATATCCAGATCCAAATCCAGATCCACCACGACGCTACTGCAAGAGAGGCGCTAGGTGGCACGGGCCACTTATGAACTCGTACTTGCAGCAGCCTTCTGAGAGACACAACCGTCCCTCTCACAACTCTCTGTGCCCTCTCATCCACCTCAACAACAATTCTCCAGTTCCTGCATATTCGATACAGCTCGAAAGCACACAGCTGCAGCTGATCCGCCAATATGTTCAGAAACAACTACGACAACGACTCGGTGACATTGTGAGTTGTGTCCCCTTGCGAAAAGAAAGCTCCCAAACTCGTCTGGACACACTGGACAAGGCTGATGGAACGGTGCATGGATATAGCTCTCCCCAAGGCCGCATCTTCCAAGTCGAGTATGCCTCCGAAGCCGTCAAGCAGGGGAGCGTAGTCGTGGGAATAGTCAGCAAGACGCATGCAGTTCTGGTAGCTCTGAAGGTGTGTCTTCTCTCCCCCCAACCACACCCATATATATATATATATCCACGTCCATATCCAAACAATCTGCTAATGCCTTCGCCTGCCCTCCTCTCCAGCGCAACGCCGAAGAGCTCTCCTCCTACCAAAAGAAAATCCTCGCCATCGACTCGCACCTGGGCGTCGCGCTCGCGGGTCTCGCATCCGACGCCCGCGTGCTCTCGAATTTCATGAAATCGCAGACCCTCTCCTCGCGCCTGACCTACGGCCGCGCCTTGCCCGTGTCACGCGTTGTCTCGGCCATCGGCGACCGCGCGCAGACGAACACCCAACACTACGGCAAACGCCCCTACGGCGTCGGCCTGCTGGTCGCCGGCGTCGACGACACGGGCCCGCACCTGTTCGAGTTCCAGCCGAGCGGCATGACGCAGGAGATGGTGGCATGCGCCATCGGTGCCCGCAGTCAGATGGCGCGCACCTACCTGGAGAGGAACCTGGAGGCCTTCGAGGCCTGTGGTCGCGAGGAGCTGGTCAAGCATGGCCTGAGGGCGCTGAAGGAGAGCTTGGCGGCGGAGAAGGAGCTGACGGTAGAGAACTGCAGTGTCGGTGTGGTGGGTGTGCGTGCGGAGGGCCAAAAGGCAATCGAAAGCTTCCACCTGTATGATGGGCAGGAGGTCAAGCAGTGGGTTGATCTTGTGGCTGACGGGGGCGAGGGCGAGGGTGAGGGCGGAATGGAAGTTGATTCATAAGGTCATTAGGTCCTCCTCGGTGGTGTAACAATAGAAAGAAAGAAAAACAAAACACTAAAACCCACGATCTGTAATTCATATTCGTCAATGTTTACCTAATTTCTCTAGCCGATCAACCAACTACTTTCAACGAAACAAGATAAATTCAGTTAAATCAGATCACAACGAGTCTCGTCGAGTAAACTCAAGTCAAGTAAACTCAATCTCATCGTACAGTACAATTTTATTTCCGCTTGCGCGACCTATCTGTCTACCTTACCTATCTATTGAATTGATTATCCACTTTTTTATATTACCCTCCTTTTTCCCTTCCCTTCCCTTCCCTTCCATTTCCGTTATCCAAAACCTGGGCAAAGAAATCTGCTGCTACTGTAGGAAATCGCGCTCGTTATATGCACCTGCAATGATCCCCCGGACCGCGAGCTTGCATTCAGTGCAGTGGAAGGAAACACCACCACTACCACTACCACTACCACGAGCAGCAGCAGCAGCAGCAGCAGCAGCAGCATCGGATTGTCCCAACCCCTTGCGTGAATTCCCCTTTGCCCATTTGCGAAACTCAAAACTCGGTTAATCAATCGATCCCACGCATCAACCCCCACCTCAACAACGTAATGCAATAAACCGAGCAGAGGGAGGAGGAGCTTGGAAAAAGGAATTACTGTTTCCCCCACTCGAGCTTGAATCTCCCCTCCGCATTCCTGTACTCCCGCAGCGCTTTCACGGCATCCTCTGCGGTCTTGGCCTCCTTGATAATGGCCTCGTTCGTCTTGCCTACGAAGCCAGCCTCGACGCTCCCTTTGATCCACTGCAGCAGACCATCCCAGTAGCCTTCTATGTTGAGGACTACGACGCCTGTATCTTTGATTAATGTCTTATTGCGGGGTCACGTGGATGGGGGAGAGCTGTGATGGTGAAGAGCTGTGATGGGAAGGGGAACTAGGGGGTTTGAGGGAAGCAAGGAGGAGAGAAATACCTCGATTGTGAATGCCCAACTGATTCCAGGTAACGACCTCCATCAGCTCTTCGAGCGTGCCATAACCCCCACTCAGCGCCAGAAAGCCCGACCCCGGACCTCCGGCCAGCACCTCCTGCGCCATCATCAACTTGCGGGTGTGCATATCATTGACCACCGTCGTGCGGCCGCTATTCCGCATGTCAGCATGCATTCATCCAATTCTCCATAGATGTCCCAAGAAGAGAAAAAATCGGGTGAGGGCTGACTTACTATATTTCATACGAGGGCAGCGAGCCAGACGTGATTTCATCAGCAGCGCTGTTGGGACCACGCTCGTACTTGACCAGCGGGGCCGGGATGATGCCGTGCACACTCTCTGGGCCTGACAGCGCGACGAGAGAACGGGCAACCTCGCCCATCAAGCCAACTGTGCCGCCGCCGTAGACGAGAGAGATGTTGTGGGCATGGAATGCGGCGCCGAGAGCGCGTGCTGCTTCCTGTGGGGGGGGCATGTCAGCACATCATCTCAGCTCTCGGCTCAAAATAAATCAGGCTTTACCATGTGAGCTGGCGAGTATCCAGGCGATGAACCACAGAAGACACATATCTTGGTCTTGGGCACCGCATCTGGGCCTGAGGGAGGCATGTTCGCATCGTTGGTTGACTTGGGGATGTTTGCTAGGCTGTGCGTCGGGAGGCCGTTGGGGCTTCCTGGAGTGTCGGATCGAGTGCCGCAGTCTGAGCTGGAGAGGGAGAAGGAGGTGTCGTCGGAGGTCATGGCTTCCGATGGTGATGGACGACGTGAGATGAGTTGAGAGCTGAGAGTTGAGATTTGAGATTTGAGACTTGAGATATCAGAAATTGAGAATGGGAAATGTCAAGGGAATGGGCGAGGAGGAGGGGAGGAGGAGAGTATTTATGGTATCCCGAGGTCGAGGCTGGCGATGCGGACGCGGATGATGAGGCTGTTGGAGTGACTGACTCAATGCAAGGAGTACATGTGAGATCTGATGGGGAAGGTACGAAATGTGTGGAAATTTGGTTGAAGGGAGATGTGACGAGTCAGTTTGATGAGATGAAAGAAGAAAAGGGAAAAGATTAGATGTTAGCCTTGATGTTGGTATATATTGATAGGAATTGAAGTCGGTGTTGTCAGTCCTTACTCCGCAGGTGCTTATATACCTTTATAAGTACATGCTCCTGATCCTCTCGGCACATGCCCAACCCAGCCCAACCCAGCCCAACCCAGCCCAGACCGGCTTAGACCGGCTTAGCCCGGCCCGGCCATGCCGTGCCGGCCCAGTGGTACGGCTCCTCCGGGCCGTCATCTTCTCCGACACTCCGACACTCCGACAATCCGACCATCCGACACCTTACCATTCCTACCGACTAAACTCCGCTGGTCCCTGTCGCTATCGTCGACGCCAACAATCTTCTTTCATTCATTCAACCCCGGGACATCACCCATTACCAGCACAAAAACAATATCAAGATGCCTCCAGGCGCCCCTCCCGCTGCGGCGGCTCAAGCCCAGGCTGAAGGCGGAATGAGCGTGCGCCTACTCCTCCAGACCAGTACTCCCGATATCTAGCTAACTCTCCCAGCCCATGGTCAAGTCCCTAGTCCAAGGCCTCGCCATCTTCTTCGGCATGCAATTCGTTATGTCCAAAGTAATGGGCCCCAAGACCCCCGCCGCAGAAGTAACAACCACCGACGCGACAGGCGCCGTCGTCACCCTCCCCAACACGGCCGAAATCCCACCCTTCCTCTCGCGGCCATCTGTTCTCGACGAAAATGCCGTGTACAACCCCGTCGCTCAGCGCGTAGCACCTATGTGGCCATTGAACAGCCCCCTCGACATCACCGTCGTCATTTCTCCCACGCTCGTCAGGAAGCCGATCGCGACAGCGGCGAAGGAGAGGGTCGTGGTGAACGAGAAGGCTTTTGTGCTGGGAGATTGGGAGGAGAAGAGGAGCATTAGTACGAGCTTCGAGGTGCCGCGCGAGGTGCAGAATAACGGGACGCTGTGGGCGCATATCTACGTGGGTTTGGAGGGGGCGAGTCTGGATCCGGCGGTGCAGGGGTATGATCCGGCGCGGGCGTACCATTTCGTGAGGCCCTTGACGCAGTACATTACGCAGAAGAAGGTGAAGAAGGTGAAGAATCTGCTGGCTACAGAGGAGACCGAGGAGGTAAGGTTCTTGGATGCAAGAGTTGGGGGGAATGTGCTGACTGGAAAAGGAGGAAGAGGAGATCCCCACGGGCCCCATCGTCAATTCCCACTACCACCCCAACTTCACGCTCTCATTTATCCCGGATACTGGAATCATGAATTATCCGACTTTGGCCCCGGCTGCGAGACAGTACGTGCACCTCGAAGCTACAGGAGCTCGTGATGGCAGCGGACAGAATGGATGGTACTATCCTGTGCTTTTCGTCAACACGTTCTGGCAACTCAAGAGCCAATTGATGCCCGTCAATGACACGGTCAAGAGACTTCCCATTCACATCGATCTCAATCATCAGGCCAATTGGAAATTCAGCCTCATTGCCAATATTGACGAGAATATGAAGCAGACTGCCAGAAACGCTGCCCGGGGCCAGTCTATGAATGGCGACGGAAGCGAAATTGAGATGATCAAGGAAGTACTTCTTGATACCAATATATATCTCCTCGCGACAACGATTGTTGTCAGTGTTTTCCACATGATCTTCGAGATGCTGGCTTTCAAGTCCGATATCTCGCACTACCGCAACAAGAAGAACAACATCGGCATTTCCGTTCGCTCTATTCTTGGAAATGTCTTCATGCAAGCCGTCATCTTCCTCTACCTGCTGGACAACAACGAAAATACCAGTCAGTAGACCTCCCCTACTCCCGTGAGACGATTTCACTAATGCCAGTAGGTTGGATGATCCTCTTCTCCCAGGGAATGGGCATTCTCCTCGAGTTCTGGAAGATCACCACCGTCGTCAACGTTCGTGTTCGCCCTGCTCCCGACTCTTTAATCCCCTACAGAATCGCCTTCGAGGACAAACACGTGCTCTCCGAAACCGAAGAGAAAACCAAGGAATACGATGCCGTAGCCTTCAAGTACTTGTATATGATCGCCGCTCCGTTACTAGTGGCCTACGCTGCCTACTCTCTCAAATATGAGTCCCACAAATCCTGGTATTCTTTCGTCATCGCCACTCTCGTTGGCTCCGTCTACGCTTACGGGTTCTTGATGATGGTGCCGTCCTTGTACATCAACTACCGCCTGAAGAGTGTGGCGCATATGCCAGCCAGGGCCATGACGTACAAGTTCCTGAACACTTTCATCGACGATCTCTTTGCATTTACCATCAAGATGCCGACGCTGCATAGGATTGCGACGCTGAGAGACGATGTCATCTTCTTTGTGTATATATACCAGAGTTACCAGTACAAGGTCGACTTCACCCGAGTCAACGAGTTCGGACAGGGAGGTGACGAGGAGGAGCTGGAGGAGAAGACGGCGAACAAGCCGCTCAGTGCGCCTGCGGGCGCAGATGCCAGCGTGGCTGTCGCGACCGAGGGGAAGGACAAGGCGGAAAAGGCTTTGGATGATGTTGTTGCCAAGGCGTCGGGAAGCTCGAAGAAAGGTGGTGCGTCAAAGAGAAAATGAGGCTGAAAGATATCCAGCTCGCCTCTGGTGGAATTTACTTGTATACTAATATGTATATATGAATTTATTTATGCATGTCAAGATTTTTCCGAGTCGGTGCTCGTATATCCTAGTGAAATGAATGGAAAGGTGTTCGTTGTGCTATTATTTATTTGCCACGTAGGTGGGGAGGGGAAGCAAGTCCAAAGAAGGGTTGGTTTTATAACTATCCGTGAATGAATGAATGAATGAATATCTGCTGATTTCCGAGGTATGGATGGGATGGATCGGCGTGGCAGTAATTTTTTTTTTCCACTTTTACTCTATTAAAAGCGAGAGAAATTAGAAAGAATTCTTAAGGGATTGAAGGTTTGGTTGAAGGCTGATCTGACTTATCTGATTGAAGGCTGGTTGATGTATGGTATGACTTGAGTGGAGTAGGAGAATTAACGGAACAGAAGGGAACAGAACAGAACGGAATAGAACAGAACAGGCTATTCATTAGCTATGGAAGTAGAAGAAGGAGGATATGGATACGGATATGGATGTGGATATGAATGTGGATATAGAAATCTAGGGAGTCTGGAGTTTGTGAAGAGTTTGGTTTACTGGTTGGTTGAGTGGTTGGTTGGTTGGTGGTTAATAGATGTTGCTAGACAGGAAGGAAGGAAGGAAGTGAGTGAGTGAGTGAGTGAGTGAGTGAGTGAGTGAAAGGTGTTTTGCGAGGATGGGTCTAGGATGAGGATGAAGGTTGGTTGTATGGGGAATGTATGAGGATTGGTGATGTATAACATGAGGTGAAGTGAGGTGAGGGGAGGTGAGGTGAACTTGATGAATTGGAAGTTGGGGAATTGGATTTGGGTTTGGGTTTGGGTTTCTTATTTATGTGATTTGATTAATTAATCAATTAATTACAATTTATCATGCTCATTATTTAAAGATTGCTTGATCTGTAACAATTTCGTAGGGAGGCGGCTAAAGCTGCGAGGTGCATTTCGACACATAAGGAAGGTACGATATCAAAAAAAAAAAAAAAATCCAGATTATCGTTGATGGAAAGAAGTGGACGGTGTTATATGACGTGATTGCCGGATCTGGTTTTGCGTTTTTATTGTAAGCTGGCTTATGGAAAGAGAGAAATAGTATGAAGCGTAGGTAGGAGCAGAGGCAGGTGAGTACGCGCTCGCTTATTTTTTCCTGTCTAACTTTTTCCTTTTGCGAAGTCAAGTCTCTTCGGCTTTAGAAAGTTTTTGGCTGATTTTTACGGTTAGCATTACCTGAAGGGATTGTTATCAGTTGGTAATAGCATTTGCGTCCTTGTAATTGCAGTTTGCAGATTATTTTTGGTATGGAGAGCAGTCGCTAGGCAAGTCCAAATGGTTTGGATAAAGTCCAGGATCCGGAATCTTTCTGTCCATATCGCTATTCACTTAAGGAGAAGGATAATTTATAATGTAAATAGAACGATATTTGCTGCTGCGATGGTCGTGATCGGTACGCTATCGATATAAATATGATAGTGGCTATCCTGATTACGTGGAACGAGGCTGATAAAAAGCGGAGAATCGACCCCCACTCATTACTAAACCAGCACTCGCTTGAGATCTGCTGGTGATACTTCTTTGCTCATAATAAACAGAGCGATTATAGCGGGTCTGGCATCTTAAGTCAAGTTATATATCTAAACCCTAAGGAGCACTTCACTTTCTTGTTTCCTTCCCGACTCATCCAACTACTAACTTTCGATCTCGACCAGTACAATATAAACACTCTTGAACAGACATCGATCTATGCAATCGCTCGGTATCTCTGTAAACCACGCATTGTTTTCAAACGACTACACAATGGACTTGGCCCTTACGTATTCAACCCGTACGTATCCATTATCTCATATACACACAAAGCTCTTTCTCTCCTTGCAACAAAAAGACCTGCAGTCTCAGCCCCTTCAAGAGCTACGCTCACCGACGCAATCCTCACCCTCCAAACCTCCCACCACGCCCTCCCAGATCGCCACCAGCAGCTCTTCGCCCAGCAGCAGCAGCCCAGCACATTCCCCCTCTTCCCCAAGCTCGTCGTCAAACTCCACCAAATGATCTGGCGCTTCTGCATCCCCCACGACCGCAAGATCTGACTGTACCCAGCTCAAGGTCCCCAGCACCTTCACCGCAACCGCAGTAACACCCACGCCAGAGTTCCCCTCTTCATCCTCTCCATCCTCCAGACCAGCCGCGAGAGCCGCGTCGAAGCCCACCGCTTCCTCCGCCTCCTCACCACATCTTCTAGCGCACTCATCCCCTCATCCCCGCGACCCCTCCAGTATACCTCGCCAGCTTCAACACGATGCGTCTGCACTTCACCATCGCCTTCCGACAAAACCTCGGCCACCACCGCCTCTACCACCTGATCGCGATGCCGCAGCGCGTCACCCTAGTGGACCGCGTGCGCGAAGTCGAGATAGTCGTCGACGCCTTCACTAACTGGGACGCGGTGCTGTTGCGTGCCAGAAAGGACGTGCTCTTCCTCCCCTTCACGAGCTTGGCGACAGGCGGGAGATGATTCTGCTGGGTTGTGGGTAGGGTAGTTTATGTTTCTACTTATTTGAGTTGTGAAGAGAAATAAGAAAAAGAAGAATAAGAGAAAGGAAAATGAGAATGATGGCGGAAAAAAATATGTTTTTGAAATATAAGGGAGGAAGGCAGGGAGCGGGGTTCTATATACATTACGTCGCAGCCGCAAAGATGGATAGGATGGAATGCAAGGGAGAGTTGTGAGGTGAAGTGAAGTGCACTGGTCGAGTATATATGTATATATGCATATCGACTTATGCGTCGAATAATATAATATGTATACATATATTTATACATATAAGAATGCAAACGAGACCAGTTAAGGATGGGGTATAAAAGCGCCGGAGAAACCAGAAACGAGAAACGAGAAACGAGAAACGAAAAAAGCATAACATAACTTAACGGCCGCAAAAGAAGGCTCAGACCCGTGAAAATTTACAGTAAATTTCGCGCAAGATAGCTCTTACCATCCATCACCTGATGGAAAATACAATTTTCTTGGACCGAAAAAGCCTGGGCTCCTTCCTATTCAAGAATGGCCCAGTGGAGTTCTCTTGGAAGTATGCGGAGGACTATGCAATCGGTACCCGTCCATCGGAGTGTAGATCTCCACGGGCGGCACAGGCGGCTGCATCATCTCTACCGGCTCGAACATCCCTCCGGGAGTACCCAGCTCGTTCGGGCGCGACCAGCCGTGCATCTCCTCGCCGACGCCCTTCGGCGGCACAACCGGTTTCAATTCCTTGAATTGCTGGCTCCCGATTTCGGTGTCGGCGTAGCTCGAACGTCCCATGTTGCCTGCTGCTGCGTCCGGGTCCATGTGCTGTGCTTCATCGCTTGAAGCAGCTCGGTTTTTGCGACGGTGGCGACGGAAGAAGAAGAAGATGAGACCGAGGAAAATCACAACACCTGCCACGGCGCCGATCGAGGCTCCGACTTTGACGCCGGTGGATGTGCTGCTTGATGAGTTGCTTGAGGTACCGTTTTGCGATATGGCGTTCTGTCGGAAGAGGACTGCTGTTTGCTCGTTGCTGGGATTGAGTGCGAGGACCATGCCGTCGCCGCATTCGCCTGCTTGTTTGGAATGAAACCCTGAAGTTACGTAAGTAGTGCTCTCTAGATATAAAATATCGAGAATATTTACATTGGGAGGTGCTCTGAGATATGTTAAAAGAGTATTGGGGAGTCGGGACAATGGCGTTGTTGACATTCGCCATGTACCCCGAGTCGTGTCCACCGGATAATCCCACACACGGATGGTCGAAGGTCGATTCCGTCAACGAGTGGTTTCCGGATGTAAATTGGACGACAACCGTATCTCCGACATCTGCGGACACGGAATTTGGCGTAAAAGCGGGGTTTGTTCCTGCGAGTACCTGGATATTTTGAGAACACGTTCAACACAATTAACGACATGTAGAAAGACTTACTGTATATGTGGCAGCTACAGTGTTAGAAGCTTGCGGACTGCTGCCAGTAACTGTCAGGACAGTATCACCTACTGTCAAGACGCTCTTGACGGCAGCTACACCTAATGCATAGCCTTCTATAGGATATGCAAATGCTTGGGCGTTAGTCGCTGTCGCTGTCCATATACTTGTGGCTGTAACGCTGGAGGAATCATATGCCGTGACTTTAACATGGCTGGCGCTTGGGATAGGGCTGTAGCATGTTCCACCAAATGCCGGGCGATCACTGAAGGCGGTCGCGTCTGGCTCGTGAAATGAATAGGAACTGCAATGTTAGGACTCGCTGTGGTTCGGCAAGAACATTACTGAGACACACCTTGGGCAGCATGCTATATAATTGGAAGTGTAGGGACCAACGGCAGAATAGTGCTGTGGGCAGACAAGGGGATTGAAGGCAGGTTGAGTAATACTCCCGGCGGACAAAAGATAACTTGTTATGAATTGACTCGGGTAACAATCGGTAAAAGTCGTGCCAGGTACAGGTACTGGCATATTCACCCATATCTAGAAACACTATTAGCATTTGATCATTGCAGATAGCGCAGCCTTTCTAATGTAGCATCTTATTCGCCAAGTAGACCGAGACCTCGGCTGGGATATACTCACTTCCCATTGCCGGTTCAATAGCATGGTTAATCTATTCTCAGCGCATGTTGTTGCTGTCGGGATAAATGTCGTTGACAAGGCTGGCGTTACTAACGCCATACTGGCGCTGCTTGTCCCACTTGGATTTGGCTTCGTAGAAGTCATAGCTGAAGACGGATCAAACGGGTTACGGGAAGGACGAAAAGAAGCCTAAAGGTGTTCAAAGCTCTGAGGACCGCACGGAGAGACACTGCATCTATATATTGTCAGACTTCAATGAGACCTACTGCAACAGACCTGCTTCATAATCCATTTTCGGCATGCGAATCAGCGATCAGAGATAGGGGCGTACGGCTGGTATAAGCCCTTACGGATGAAGACAGGCGGAACACTATGATATCAGTGAGAGTCATGCTCTGATAGGATATATTTGATTAGGGCTGATAGAAATGAGTGTATAAGCCTGAAGGTTTCACGACCGTTACCTGGGAGTTCCACCCTATCCATATGTATTCCATCAGGGAACCTGGCCGTCTTCTTGATTTTCCTAGTATCAAGGACAAACAAGCCCAACTACAACTGAGACTGTATTGACCTTTTACCGATTCGGCTGAAATCCCTGATTGAGATCTCGGTCGGTGAGTCTCCGCGCTCGATCCCTCAGTCTCAGTCCACGTTCCGCCCGTATATGACTGCCCCCTGTGGGTTGCCTATTCATGCTGAAGGGGCGCAACAGCCAGCCACGGGGACACACCTGTCACCTATCACAACTAGAGGTCGGGTCGGCGCGCACATAGGATGATACCGAAGCCTACCACCCCTAGACCAAAATTAGATCACTGAAGAAACGTCTTCGCGGCGCTTGTATCTTTATCGAGAAGGAGTGGCGAAGAGGAATAGGAACTCGCTAAGCTAGCTTCATCAATGCCTCCACCCCCTTCTATAAATGAGTGGTATAAGGAATACTTCTCCACATACAAAAGGTCTGGATTCTGGATTCTGGATTCTGGATTCTGGAAATCGATGATTCGATCTCCTCCAGATGACCAATATGCGCCGGGATAACGTTACATTTTGACATCCCGGCCGTTCGACTAATCGGGTAATGACCTGAATGCGTTAGAGCACCGTGTCTTGGCTCTTTGCGATCAAGACTCTGGACCTGGCACCCTTGGGGTAGATAGAGCATCGACGGGGAAAACCAGGGAAAACTCGTACCCAGCGAGGTACTGATTGGAATACATGGCTTGCCTACCTATATATAGCAAGAACTGCAATGAGAGATTTCAATACCCTGCAGAGAATACAGAATGCAGCCCGGCCCGGACATTGTCCCCAGCTGAGACACCGAAAATGAAAGATCTTCTCGAAAACTTCTAGTGCTGGTGGGCTCCGGGCTCCTGCATATGGCACATTGCATATTGCATGCATGCAGGCGGATAGATGATAAATCCTCGGGCGCGTAAAGACTCCGACGAATGGGAAATTTGCATCATGGCAATTTTGGAGATGGTTGGCTTTTTCCCGGGATAGTGTTCGCGAGAAGAGGAGAGAAAGAATTCCCTGTTGTGAATATATAGAATTTCGCTAGCAGGGTCACGTGGAATTAGCTTAGCGAGGTTTGACTGCCATACTCACACTTCAAGCCCTGGGGGTCATCCTCCATTCTCCATCATCCATCTTCCACCATCCGTCGTTGATCATCAGAGTCTCACGCCCCCCTTGAGCCTCCTCCAAAGCTCCCTCCGGAAAGCCTTAACCCACGTCCCCGTTCTCGCAACAGCATCACCATTCTCCTTCACCCTCCTGCACAGGAACTGCAAACACTCCCGCGTACTCCCCCATGCTAGACACTTGAACGCTCTCGGTCTGAGCCTCTCATCGCCGTCCCCCTCCCTCAACTTCTCATCGCCGCCCAGCTCGCTCAGCTGCAACAGCCGGCAAGAGAGCTCATCCGCCATGCCCTGCAGCTGTGCAAACTCCAGCTCAATGATCGCCTCGTCGGCCTCAACACGCGCCTTCTGGATCTCATACGCCCGCTCAACACTCCTCTCGTTGTGAGTTGCCAGCACGAGTGCCACCCGCGGACACGGCTTCCCGGACCTAACGTCAGCCGGCCATTGCCGTGCGAGCAGCGCTGCCGCAATCCCATCGTAGGCCGCGTGCGTCTCCTCGATGGAATCCCAGATCAACTCCCGGCGCTCGGTAGCCATGTAAGCACCTCTCACGAGCTTGACGCCGAGGGTCCAGCCCTCCACTTGCGCAGCCCGCATGTGTGCCTCGAGAGTCGCCGGCGTGCTCTTGAGGTAGGCCTGGTACGTGTTGTAGACGCATGGGAACCCGAACCCTGACGCGGCTTCCGCGCCGTGGTGGTTGAACCGTCGCATAAGGAGGAGCGTCCAGGCGTCGATGCTAGGCTGGAGGTCCTGCCGCTCGGCGTCGATCCACACGCGGATCTTGCACACCTGGGCCGTGGCGCAGAGGGCGAGCAGCTGCTGCCACATCCTGGCAGGTGGCGGCTGCTGGTTGGCGAGGGCGTGGAGGGTGGAGCGTCCGGCGCCCGAAAGTCTGAATAGTTCTCGTTAGATTGGACGAGAAATTTTTTCTCATACTCATCACCTTCTTCTCTTTCCCTCTCTTGCTTTACCCCTTTCCCCCTGGTTTTTCTCTCATTCATTTCATTCATCTCCAAAGTCTCATCTGGGTGAAAAAAATAACAGCAGGGAGAAGAGGAGAGGAGTACTTGACAGCCACAAAGTCCCCCTCATCAACCATCTCCATTGTCCGCTCGTACTCCCTCCCCCAGCTCACCACATCCGCCTCCTCGTCCCCCTCCTCCCCTTTTCCCACCTCCCCCCTATCTCCCACCCCGAACTCCTTCGCGTACCCCAACACCACCCCCGCGAACCCCGTCGCTTTTATCTGCGTCACCGTCTGCCGGACGGCGTCCTCAGACCCGCCCGCTATGAAGTGGTCATAGACGATCTTGCGGACGGGGATGCCGATTAGGGGGTTCCGGTCGGGGTTTAGGAGCGGCGAGGGCGAGTTGGCAATGGTGGTGAGGAGGGGGAGGGCGAGCCTGAGGAGGCGTGGGGAGGCGAGAATGGTGGTTAGCAGGTAGGAGCGGATAAGGAGAGGCGTTGGCATAAGGGAGAGCGGAGGAAGTGCTTTCGGGACCGAAGATGTAGGGAGTGGTGGTGGTGACTGTATCGCCGGGGCCGTGGCTGCTGAGTTCGATTGAGAGCTCGCCCGACGTAGTGGTGGCATACGAATCATCCCCCGCCGCGCTCCCACGAGGAATGTCTTTTTCAGCGCCGCGGCTGTTTTTGACATCTTGGTCTTAGGTCCTTGCTGTCGATGCACCGAGAAAGATCTTGGGAGCGGACAAGCCTCTGTCAAGTCTTCATATCTTATTTCACAGCACGAGCAGGTAAGAACTTGACCGCCAAAAAAATCTCCATTTTTTTTTTCAATAGAAAAAATCTAATTCCCGAGTTCCGATCACACAACCCGATCTTTGCAACTCGATTTTCACAATATTAGAAATCGACATTACCAACAGTCTTTATCATAACAAACTTGCAAGTATTTTCTGTTGCTATAAAGTAATTATTATTATTTAGAAAAGATATTTCATCGACGTACTAATAGTTTAAAAAATAATAGAAATTGTAATATTGATTTGCAAGTCAGTTTGAAAGTCTGTGTTTTTGAAAGTCGGTATAGCGCACGCGATGGAACGAGTGACTGAGAGCAGCCGACAGCTTGCCTTATTGGCGCACCGTTATTCTTTGGTAATACGGTCATTTTCGTAGAGACAAAACAATGCGTGCGTGCGTCATATTAAAACAAGTAAGTATAATACCTACCTCCCTAACTAAATTTAATGGATGATAGACAGCCGATCCAAAAAAAAAAAGCCAAAAAAACATACAACAGCAGGTATTCGCTGGTGGTCACCCACCCAACTACTAATCTGCCGATCTGAGGCTTGTGTATGGCAGAGCGAACGGGATGCCCAATTCTCCTCAGTCTATGGTCGTATGTGGGAAGAAACCACTTTTCTGGTATTGTATTATTGACTTTGGTTCCCGGTAGTTCGCAAAATCAATTTGGACTTCTAAGCGAGCTGACGATTACGTCATGCTGCACGGTGGGTGTGTGGAAAGCTGCTTCTCTCACCGCTCTTGATTCGCCCACACCTTGCATCCGGCAATATTAAATATAAACTGCGACAACGATTTCGCCTTCTCAGGGCCACCATCAATCAGCATGAGGACTACAGCACTGGCCGGAGCACGATGGCGTGGCTTAGAACTCTTTGCGCTGGGTAATAGACCTTCTCATTTTCAACCCAATATATCCAATGTAACCCAATGTCGCCGCCCGTTATCCTCAACTCGAGCCCGCCACGAACCCAAGAATGCATTCGCCTTGGAAGCACTACCACCGAAAGCAGAGCGCAGGCGCAACAACAAGCTGCGGTTCGCCACAACCACAGCCATCGTCGCAGCGCTTGCCGCAGCTTTCATATTCCTCGCAGACCCGAATAGGAAAGGAGTCAAGAAGATCTTTGACCCGCCACGCTTCACGCCCTTCACAATCGTCAAGAGAGAGGAAGTCTCGCCGAATAGCATAATCCTCACTTTACGACCCCAGACATTAGTTAACCGGCCCCGGAAACTGCTGGAGGATCCATACCAAGCTAGTTGGGAGAAGGGGACCTGGTCGGTCGAAGTCAAGCAGCCTGAATTGCAGATTGCACGATCATACACCCCGCTGCCGCCGAAGAAGGGAGATCCCACGGGCGATTTGCGGTTCCTGATAAGGAAGGAACACAAGGGCGAAGTATCGGGGTATTTGCATAGGCTGAACGCTGGGTCGCGGATCCATCTTCGAGGCCCGCATGAGGAGTTCAATGTCCCGGAACGGGTTGAGAATGTCGTGTTCCTTGCTGGCGGGACGGGAATTGCACCGGCCCTGCAGGTCGCATATAGTTTGCTTGAGGGGAGGCAGACGGAGTCCGAGAAGCCTAAGATACATATCGTGTGGGCGAGTCGAAAGAGGGCAGATTGCGAGGGTGGCGTAGATGCCAGTAACCCATATGGCTGGGAGGGGCGCAAGACGGGAAAGATCGTGCAAGAGCTGGAAAGGCTGCAGCAGCGACACCCGGGTCAGCTTTCTGTGGACTACTTGGTAGACGAAGAGGGCAGATTCCTGGACCAGAAGAGGATATCGAGTCTCACGAAAGCGATGTCCACAGTCCGAGGCGAGGCGTTGTCCAGTAACATGGATTCACAGCTGTTATTCGTTTCTGGGCCTGAAGGGTTTATTAAGCACGTTGCCGGCCCCAAGAAGTGGGAGTATGGAGCGGAGGCGCAAGGAGAGCTAGGTGGCATAGTCGGCCAGCTCGGACTTGGAAAGAAATGGAAGGTATGGAAGCTGTGAAAGCTGTGAAAGCTATAACTTCGAATTGTATAACACCTCATCTCTACCTCTAGGATCCACAAGAGGTCCAATTACTGCACCCAAGCACGCTCGATGGAAAATTGCTGCTCTGGATAGTGACGGCATGCTTTTTTTTTCCTTGCTACAAAGGAGTGCTCAACGTAAATAACCAGCATCCAAATTCAAATCCAATCCAGCGATCATTCTGGCCAGAGCAAAGTATGACACCATCTTGGATACACAACAGCTTGTAGATAAGGTACTATTCAGCAATATTTCCTATCCTATTACTTTCTATTTTCCTCGACTTCATTTGAAAATTTGCCTTTATAGCGTCCATATATGAAAGTCTTCTCATTTTTCTCATTTCATTATCTTTTTTTTTTTTTTTTCAAATGTATGTATGGCAGCATGCAGCGGTTTGCTGCCAAGAGATTAGAAAGTCCGTTTGCTTATTTTGAATCAGGTGGTTCTGACGAGACTTGCTTTAGTCCAGAGGAAAGGAGATCATATCGCATTATTAAGAGCCGCTCATGTTTTAATGCTATTCATTAGGTTCTGCTGCGTAAAACCGATTTATAGAATATGAATAGCGGAGGTATGGAAGAGGGTTGAGAATGCACGTTAGCTCTTAGGCCAAAATCCAGATTCCAAGCGGATACAGCTCATTGGTACAGCTTAATCATAATACTTAAGTTTTGCGTTCGATTCGTTGAAGTGATGATATAAAGAGTTTTTTTTAGTAGCTTTGAAAAATAGGATTAGACTCTACGTTACATATCAGCCCGGGGCTTCATGAGCCCCCTTTATATCTACGTACTCTACAAAAGTATGGAAACACCCAGCCGAGCATGAGGAAGGCTGCGTACTTATATATCTTAGGATGCATTCAGTGCGCAGAACATGGAACGTCTTAGCGATCCCAGCTATTATCCAGAGTTGTGGTAGCGGGACCGATGGGACTCTTAGGAGGTGACTTCTGTAGACCCTTTCTTGGAGTGTAAAAATAGCAAGCAAAGTTTTGACAGCCGTCACACCGAATACTGCTGTCGATAGCTAGCACTTGTAAATTGTTACTCGGCATCTCGTGATGTCTCAGCAGTCACTGATGATCAGCGGTAACAAACCGCTAAAGGAGCCTAGTTAGAAAGACAAAAAGTTAGTAAATGATAGTAGAAAAGAAGTCGGATATTTAGGCGTCGTCTATATCCTTGGCTAAATAGTATACGGAATTGAGATCAGCAAGACGACTCCCACGCAAAAGTTTGCAGAAGATAGAGTTCTAAAAACAGCGTCTTATATAACCTGTTATTTCCAGCCTCGGCGACAGGACTCATCTCGCTGCGTCTCTGCTGTCGATAATGGAAGTCATGATTCAATACCACAGCGCACAACGCATGCGATAGTCCTCCGAATTCACTAAGCAGCTGCGCTTCACTGCTCGCCACCTTTTGCCTCGCTGTTAATTATTAGTTCAGAGTTCCAGAAGATGTATAAAACAACGATTAGAATCCAATTTTATCGGATTTTTCTAGTGGTATATGTGGGCATACCCATGCATCGCTCCAAGCTGAGGATACGTGATATAGGCTTCTACGTCGACCCAAGGAGCCATTTCAGAGATATCGTCCGCGTTTTTACAAGGGAGGGAGGAAGGGTGTCCTCTCAATCTTAGCCCGTCACTCAATGCGCTTTTCATTCGTCATTCCTCTGACCTGTCTTCCCCTTACTCAATGACGTGCTATATAGAAATGCGAAAGGGGATAGGCTAGTTTGATTGCCATTCTCTTCGACACTATCAGTGCCTGAAGTTTCCCATTGCGCAACTTATCTTTTCATCTTAACTCCAAAAGATCGTTTTTGCTCTAAAGATTTAGATATCCGCGTAATATCATTATCTAAAATACCATCACTGAGAAACGTAGAATTACTCTGTTCCAATCGATCTTCGTATCGACCACAGCATGTTTCACTGAGTCGACGAGCGCACGCAGACTTTCATTAATATATAGCCCACTTGATTCTGGGCAAAATAATCGAAGTCTACAAAGGTTGCTTTTCTTAACCACGATTCTGTATCTAGGATCTCATAAAATGAAACCAAGAATCGCGACGAAAAGAGGAGGTAGCAATCAATAATTGAATTTTTTTCCAGATAGTCGGGCTGCTTCATTCTGTATTCCCCTTTTTGGGAAGGTGCGTAGCCACAGAGTTTCGTAGACTGTTTGTATGTAAACACCACCTTTCCCATTTGTAATGCTTATAGATTGTCATTTCTAACACAGAGCAAAATTCATAGCACAAACTCAAAAGTGAACTCCCGTCAAAGACATACCCATGGATAGCGAGATCCATTGCCTCACCATCCCAACACTCAGATATAGAGACTCAGTCGCCACCTCCCACCCCTAGAGACAAACCAGTTGTGAGATTTAAACCCAGGACTAAAACAAGAGTCTACGACACAGATGCCCCTATACACACCGAACAACAACAAGATACCCAAACATACAGACAACCAGGTCCCCCCCCAACCTTAAAGTGCGCCTAGTAACCTCATTATCAAATATAAACGCACCACCACTCAAAATCATCATCATCACCATCATCATCATCACCATCATCATCATCACCATCATCATCATCACCATCATCATCATCACCAAAAATTCAAAAGAATCCATATGATTTTTTCTTGAAAAAAATATCAAATCTCCACCAAACCCACACAGCAAGCAATCCCCAATTACAAAACAAACCCCCCCCCCACACACACACAC